TTCTTTGAATTCACGACCATGAGTCACCTGCGCGGTCATCCGTACAAAGTCAAGCGGGAGCGTACACGCCTAGACCATCGGACGTTTTCCTTCAGCCAGCGTGTTGTTCGACCGTGGAACTCGCTCCCAAGTGAAATAGTGGCATCTGATACAATGGTTGTATTCAAAAGGCAGCTGGATCATTTGATCTTTGATAAACGACGACTCTCACTGAAGGACTATCTGCGGCCAGCCATAAATTTCATTTCTTGACTTCATCCCTATGTAACACATCCCTGACTTTTAATGAAATTTTCCCTCTCAAACTACTCAAATGACTGCACTTTGTGCTGATTGTATATAATTGCACTTAAAATTTCATATGTACATTAATAAGACCGCCTGCATCAACATTCGCAGTCCCGCATTGTAAAATCGTTTTGCGGAAAAAATGTTACTGGCAACATTTTAGTAAGATGTACATTTAACATTTATATTGTATGTACCGTTTTCAGTAGGGTCGTCAAGGGCCTGAAATGTACACACATACACAGTGTACAGCCCGACCTCCATGTTTTCGTGTAACACAACTTCGACCGTACTCCAGTGAACTTAACTTGAAACTTTGCATGATTCGGTTTGCCTGTAGTAGAAAATGCCCCCGTATGATGTGAATTAATGTTTTTGTGCTGTTAGAGTCTGCGATTAACCCTACGTCGGTTGTCTGAAATTATTCAACGTTGATACGATGAAGTCCTTACTTTGCCCTCCGTTCCAGAAGCGGACACGAGATCGTCACGTATGAGTGTTGGGTCAGAGCTATTTTCCATACCGTGTATTGTACGTGCGGGAGGGTCACGGAAACAATGTGAGGGCTACTTTTGGAACGACCCCCTCGTAGTTTCCAAACACATGAGGACTCAAAACTTCTAATGGGTTATTCAGTTCGTCAGAGTCTGGTTGTAGTAGAGTGGAATGTTCTCTCCTACGGCATTTGACTGTACATTCGTGAGGCGACGTGCAATTTTTCGGTGATATGATTGGCTTTCAAGCGGCGGCGCCACAATCCCCGCTCTTGTACTATCGCCCTCTTCTCCTTCGAGTTACAGGCGATTTCTTTCGGCACTTGTCCAGGTAGTGATCTTCTACCCAGATCATACAAAGGCACGAGGCAAGTGCGCCATTGGAATTTATTTCCGCGCTGTTCGAAATATACACGTTCCCTCACAGATTGTTTGGCAACTTTCGTGCTTCACTTGATTGTCGATGTTCACAACCTCTTAGGCTAAACGCTAATTCACCGGACCGGGTAGAAACAATATCAACGCCTACTTTTATGGAGTTCGTGGAATCTTTGGATCGTTTCTTTACCTTGCTGTGTTACATCAGCAACGGTTTCAGTCCACTTTAATTGTTGTTCTAGGCGTAGTCTTTTCATGAGTGACTCCAGAATACCACTGAAACTGAGATCGGAAAAATAGTTGAATTTGTTTATGGTTGCCACGCAAGCTCGCATTTGTTGACTGTGATGGATCAACGCCGTAGTGCCGTCAGTTTTCATTTGAAGTCCGTCGATTAATGCATCAATGAAGATCGGGGCCACCATAAGCTCTGGCCCAACCTTTTCTTGAAATTGTCCTTGGCTCTCTTGAGACTTTCACCGGCGTCTAATATCGTACAATGGTGTATAGTCTCGCTTTTCCCTGGCAGTATCGTATCAAGTAAATGTGGTACTGTCTTTACCTCTTCCCTCAATTACAGACTGGAGTTCTCTCACGAAAGTACAGTACAATGTGCGGTTCCTGTCTAGCCTCTGAATCCCTCGTTTTGGTGATTCTAAATGATATTCTGTGGTACTTACTGAAGGCTCATTTTCACCATCCAAACTGCTGCGATGCTGCCGAGCTGTCGTATATACCTTGTTGTATTTATCCAATCCTTTGCCTTCTTCCTCATGAGCAGCAATTTCTCCAACCTAATGTGTCCTTCTATTTTAGCAGAAGAAGTCTAAAAAGTCTTATTTAAAACCGCTGTCGTTCTGAGTCACTTTGTTTAGTCGAAATTAGTGAGGTAGTTCGTGAGTGCTCCAACATTTCTGGAGGAGCGTCTTCTTCAAGTTGCTCAGTTATACCCTATTAACTTTTCTAATATTCGCTAAATGGTCTTGGTGCAACGCTAGTTCCGTCGCCAAAATAGAATGCCAGAGGTCAAAGGCGGTGCAGAAAACTGGGAAGTGCACTTATATTCGAGGTAATTAGACCAGCAGTCTCGCAAATGACACAGACACGTTGTGCTCTGTTTAAAAGTGGGCAAGTCAAGTACTAAGAACAATGACAATCGACTAGTGGAAGACGTATGAAAAACTATTCGGTTGCTAATAGGTAGGTACGAGAAAGGAAAAAAAGGAATTCAACATTGACATGTGCGAAATGTCACATATCGGATCACAGGAAGTCACTGCAGTCTGGGTCTCACTCCAAATGACCTTTGAACTATCCCATCAGCTGGCAATGTTCCAAACCAAACCTTCAGACGTCTCGCAATCAGTTCATTACGTTAGTGGCATGGCGGGAGGGCTTGTCAATCAGGGACGAAGTTTCTCGTGTGTAAGGTCTCATTCTGAGACGCTAAAATCGTCGAAATTTCTAGCTCACGTAGAAGGGGATTACAAAGATCGAAGACGTTATATCGTTTGGCTGCAAGATCGAAGGACAAATTTTGTGACCTCTCCCTCTAAGGTGCCAGGAGTTTTGGATGAGAGAATAGCTGGCCAGTACGTGTTATACTTGCAAAAGGCTTTTAAAGGTAAGTCAATCATTTCCCGTAGTAGGCGGTGTCTTCCTTGGCTTCTTTTGCAGGGGCTGAATCACCTTCCTACGCATAGGACGTGTCCCGATCGGGCCGCAAGCACACTTTGGCCTCTTTCAAATAGCCTTCATATTCCAGAAACGATTCGTTGGCCTTGCGGCATATTCACCCTCTACCCGTTCAGCCCTCCTTTAAATGTTGTGTGGAAATGTGGGCACCCAAACACATATACAGATAAATCCATGAAGTGCCCTGCAAATGTGTCCCATGCACCATCCACAGCGAAGGGCACAATCGGAAAGAGGCGTACGAACGCAACAGCTGAACACTCGCGCGCAGGTGACCAATGAGAAGGGGCCTCATTTTCGTCCTCTGGCAACAACAGATTAGCCAGCTCCTGTGGAAGAGTGGTTATAATTCAATACTTCACTGTCTTCCTGCTGGACACTTGAGAAACTCCCATGACCTAGCATTTACAAAATATTCTGGAAGTGATGCCCGACAAGCTAGCCTAAATACACGATGGGACACAGGCCTTATGCTTTGATGTTGAGCTCCGATCTAGAGCTCTGGCGGTGGTAATACTTCTCGATTATTGATTGCTCGTCGCCGTACAGCTACTCACCAGAGCACTAGACCAGAGCTTCAAGGCAAACCTGAACGATCGTGTTTCATCCTGTAATCATACCAGATTATTAAACTGAAGATTTCTGCTTACAGTTGACAAGGCGTGATATCATGTCCTGCATAATGCTAATTTTAGTAGTCGAGTAGCGTAGCCTGTGGGTTCAGGTCGGTTGGCCAGGAAAGTTAGACCCCGTTGGTTCGGATATCCAAATTCTTACGTGTTCTGGCAACGGTCCCCTCGTTTTCACAACAGATGTCGAACGAGGACAAGTATGGACATCCGACACGTTGTGATATACATACGGAAACTAGGAGTCACAGAAAAACTTTTGAAGAAACTCCCATGGCGACATGTAGCCTAGAGAGACTGGAAACTATCATTGTTTCTGATACTTTGATAGAGCGTCAAGTGTGCTTAACGTAGGAACAGATGGATGGAATTTGCCGCTACTTATTCACGGTAATAAGCGTAACATACTGTCGACGATGAGTGTTTACAGAGCCAAGTGTTTATTACGAGATAATATAAGCCTGCCGTCTAATAGGCACTACATCCCCAAACATCCGGGAAGAAAAGGCGTTCACTAGTCAAAAACCTCCACTTTTCGAAAAAATAGACGCTTCTGTTGGCATGCACACGCGTGGATAAAAAAATCAGTGGACGTGTCGGTTGACGGAAACAGGAAACGGATCACTTCTTCTTTGTTCAAAGGTACTCCAGACCAGTTTAGTTAGCGCCAGAAAGCAGATTTCAGACAACGGTTGGGCCAGTAAAAGTGTGCAGGTTTACTATTTATCCATGGCAGTTTTGACTGGGGAAATGAGAAGGAGGTATGAGTTCTTTCTGAGCAGCATTCTTACAACTTATACAAGCGAGAACTTCACAACGTACCATTGTGAATATTTAAAGTATTAAAATCCTAAACAGTTTTTCTTCGGCTGATGTTGGTTTTCTCTTGACACTAATAACTTTCGTTATTTGATCAAGGCCCCTTAAAAACTCCATTATGGGTCAGTTTCATTTAATGAGCAAAAAGTTCGAAACCTATGCAATCTGGCCATGAGTTGTTTTTAAATCAGTCAATAAAATTTCGAGGTGAATACTTGACCCTATTCCTATAAATGGTTAAGCAAGGCTGCCCAGGAAACACTGGATGTTGATGCAGTCCCTCGAGCACGTGCACGAACCACTTTTTCTCTCCCACTTCCCTCCTCCCATGACGCTCGCGTTACACGAGTACGAAGGAGCGCTATGTGCTGGACGGTGCAACGTTATCTGGTGGATGGAACAACTACTGTTCATGTAGTCCCTGAGTTTCGCTGCATCTCAGTGATGTTTCCGCCTTATGCGTGCCTACTGGGCGGCCCCGTCGAAGCAGTACCGGATGTTAAATGCTGGCATTTTAGCCCCACTGTCTCAGGCAACGACAGCTATAACAAAAAAGCTTCATAATAATGAATCGGAGTGAATAGGTCTCTGCTTAAACTCCGTCCAAGAAATTGAGTCTTACTTTATGAATGGCTTGTCTAAAATGAGGATGGAGGGGAATGGACAGGGAGGGCAGTGCAGTTAAGATGCATACTGGCTAAACAAAAGTCGGATCAGAGAAGAATGTAAGAAAGTCTTCGAAAGAGAGGCCAGCATCGGGAGCGAACTGGTGCAGTTCCAACAGGGCACGAAGAAGTGCCTCGTTTACTGGATCTCCCAACGCCGTTAGAATGGCCTGCAGTTCAGCCACATCGAGTCTCCCATCGTTATTTACGTCAAGTGCTGCAAAAACACGACGAAACCTTCCTGAACTGAAATGAAAAAAGAGAATGAGGTCATCCAGCTACATTTACTTCGTTTCCGTAGTCACGTACTACAAACCTCAGGTGTTTTGGGTGTCACATGCATGATATTTTTGATCAAACTCTCAGATAGGCCATTTTATGTAATGAGAGACACTGGATAGGTCTGGAAATTCTTGGAGTTCATATATTATGCTTTCCTTATCCATCCGGCCTCTTCGTAACCGCAAAGTTTTACAACGACCGACGATAAAATGCAGACTACGAAGTCAAAATGCATTTGACTGCAATTTACTTCTGTCCAGAGTTTAGTTAACTCACTTTATCGGCCAATTACATGTTTTTAATTTGCATCGAGACTGTTAAAGGGAAGGTTTGATGTGTCAAGACTTTAATGGCTTGAAATACTGCTCTGCCAAGGCGGACTCAGTGGCTCCACGGAAATCATTTACTTTATCTCCACGTGATTTATCATATTCCGGCACACTCTTCGCCTCCGTAAACAAAATTCTAGGGTCTCATACTAGTGTTCAAGAGAAATGCCTAACTGAAAAGGGAAACAGAGCCCTTTTGCTCTTATTTAGACCTTTTGACTAGAAACCTCACCGACGGTTGAATGGCAGTTAGCGATTGTTAACTGGAATGCCGGTGTGTAGCAGACCACTACCAAACATCTTTGTCCAACACTCAAACGCGCTTGCGTATGTCTTTCAGCATCACAATCCTTCGCGCGTCATCGTGAATAACCACTGACGAGCTGGTTTGCCAGTCCGCCTTCAATATGGACGCACGCGGGCCTCTTGACGGTTGCAGTGCTTTATGCCTCGTTTGACACAGCGCGAACGCGTCAGGACACAAAAGTCTGGACCTCACTGTCAAAAGCCTATTTTGGCCACAGATCACGAAGATTCTCCGCAAACTTATCATAACTCTGTCAGCACACACCCTGGCCTTGACAGTTTCCGCCACTGCCTCTGCCGGCAGTTCATGGTTCCCTGCAGTCTTCATTCCAGTATTTTCTGGCCTCTTTTGTAGCTCGAGGTTTGGCTCTAGTTGCCATGGTTAAGCTACAACACCCACTTTGGCAACTACAAGCGAACAACCACGGGGATCAGAGATCAGAGAGACGTCCTCTGTCAGACGTGATTGTCCACATTCAAAGTTAGCCTGGTTTTGGGATGTATCATAAGCAGTGGGTTAACAACCACAGAGGGACAAGTCAGATTTTTCCAAACTAGGAGTGCGGTTAACTTAACCGACAAGGGAATCTGGACCGGAGGTGACCATGACACTTTCTGCCTCTTTCTCGGCCAACCTTTTAAGCAAGTTTGAAATCCTCACTAATTTTTAATATTTGAGCGCGGTTTCGGTCAGACCGCAGTTCGTAGCCCGGAATCGGGAAACTAACCTAACAATAAAACCCTAACTCTAACCGTAAAACCATAACCAAAACACCAAACCTAAAACCTAACCGTAAACTTAACCATAAAACCTAACACTAAAACCCCAACCCTAAAACATAACTCTAACCTTAAACCTAACCCTTAACCCTAACTCTGACCTTAACCGTAACCCAAACCTAAACCCCAGCCCTAGCCTTAACCCAAAATCCTAACACTACAACCCAACCCTAACCATAAACCCAACCCTACACCTAATCCTAAAGCCCTAACCCTAGCCCAAATATCCTAACGCTAACCCTAGACCCCAGCCCTAACCTTAACCCTAAAACCTAACCCTAACCCTAAATCAAAACTCTAACCTAAATACTAAAACCTTACCCTAAGCGTAGCCATAAAACTTAACCCTAAGGCCATAACGCTAACCCAAAAATCCTAAACCTAACCCCAAACCGTAACCCTAATCTTAACCCTTAAACCTAACACTAACCTTAGCCATAAACCCTAACCCTAAAACCCTAACCCTAACACTAAAACTTGATCCTAAGCCTAATCCTAACCCTCACTAGGCTCAACAACCTGGCCGAAACAGACGAACTTTCTAACTCGGTAGAAACACACCTACTGATAACAAGTTTCCTCCGTAAGGGTCACATGGTGGACAGTATTAATTCATAATGTCTGGCTACGAACTGCGATCTTACCGAGGTTTCCTTGAAGATGTTTGAGATACGTGTGCCTGAAAAACGGACTAATCCTTCGAAGTGTGACGAAAGATTACTCATACGTCAGCATATGTTTAAATTTCAAAGGTCCTCCTTTGTTATCTACGGGGTTATGCAACCTGTTTGTAGAGGGAGTCAAGGGCATGGTCATAAACAAGACAGCGCCAAGCAGCTGCACAAAGCCGCTTACTTATAAAGAAGCAAATAAACGCTAAATAATGCAACAGAGCATTAAAGCTTTTATATCTGTCAATCGCGACAGGGAAAGCGATTTAATAGAATGCAGTTGGTAGACTGTAGACGAACAGGGAAAAGAGACTTTCTGGAAATTTAGTTCGGCATTAACAACAGACTGACTTTTGCAAAGTATCTGGAGGATGTGTGCAGCCTTGGGACTGAAACCAATTCTGCAGGTTTTGCGTTCCAAAGATTCTGTGCTATGATGAGATTTTCTAATGATCTCTTTAACGCACACATGGGCTGAACTCTCTGAAGGCCAAAAATGGTAAACAATATGCATGACTCCGTTAGAAATAAACGCGGGTTCTGTGTCATTTGTCTTGTTCGCTGCCTTTAACTTCTTGCCCAGACTGTACTTTTTAACTTCCCCTGAAACCTGGAAGTCTACGTCTTCCAGTATGTTTCACTGCTGGTAGGTTGCCAGTTTAAGGAGACAGACTGACTGCTTGGTACGGTTTATTTCTGAAATTTAGAATTTACAGACACAGATTGCAGTAGTACTTACGGTTCCTCCGAACAAACTTTAAATAATGAAATGATAAGTGAAGAGATTCTAACATTTTTCGAATAATTAAGATCTCATTGCGTGTCTTGGCATAATTTTAAGAATTTAATAATGACTGGATGAATAAAAGGTAAAACATACTTAAATTTGGCGAAATGAAACTACTCAACTATGCCGGCGAGCATTACTTGCACTCAGCAGACCGACATAAGAAGTCCATGAGGTCTCTGGTGGTCGCGTTTGTCGTGGAAACCGCGCTGAAGGCGATAGAGTATTGTAATGCCAAACCCTACCAGCGCAATCTTTGACGCTTTGTGTGGAAAGCGCCTCTGTTATCATTACGAATAGCGTCCTGAAAGGCCTTGGAAGGAGTCTAAACTCAATCTTTCATGATGCCCAACCTCAAGCGGAAAGATCAGTAAACTATTGGTTTTAGTGTTCTGGCGACAAGGTGCTTGAACGTCAGACTATAAACAGGTGCATTCCTAAAGACCAATAAAACACTGATTGGTCACTAAAAAGTGCAACCGACACTTAACTCCGTGCAAGCGACGTGGATCACCACTGTCCCACCACCGCTTGCGTCCGATAAAAATTATTATTCTTATGGGCTCAATAAAACACCAAGATTTGCGGATGCGTGGATTGGGGTTGTGAGGGCGAATGTCAGCGTGAAGATTCAAGTCACTCATTGGACCAGATCTCTGGCCCACTAGGACCCACGCTCTGCTAGTCTGGCTTCTGAATCGGGCACGGACGCCTGCCATGTTTGACGGATGGGACAGCCAGTGGCGCCTGAGGGGGGGGCTGCAAGTATAAGTGAAAATCTTTCCTATGTTGTCCTTGTTGTTGTTTTTGTTGTTGTTGTTGTTGTTGTTGACATAATAAGGTGAAACTTCTGAAAGTCCATGTCAAAAGTCTTGATCCCTCAGGTTCCTTTCCCCATGTTTCAAGAACCTGGCTATCTAATAAACTAAGGATTCGTACTCACACAAATTTCTGACGACAGCATGGAATGCAGCGTCTGGGAATGTGGTTATGGAGATAATAGAGGTCGGGAGTCAATGTGCATAAAATTTTAGAGCACTTACTCAACACTGTCATCTGGAAGCCGAGCAAGCACTTCGTTATACTCCTCCGCCGTGATCTGGTGATCTCGGTTACGATCGAATGTCTGCCAGAAACTCTGTTCGGTAAGAGAGCACATAAAGGTTACTCGTGAGAACTGAAATAAGCTGTTAAGAACGTAGCCCCATAGTCGGTTTAAAACGTGTGCATAGCATATTAGACACCCCTTTTTCGTCCCAGTCCCAGAAACAAATACGTAAAAGTCGGACAAAAAATACGAAAAATATGTGCGTATTTCCATATGGCCTCTTCATCGCAGACAGATGTGAATACTGCATGCAAAAGCCGGTCGTCGTGATATGTCTTGCGCCTAAAACTAAAAGCCTTAAGTTTGTTCTCTTTGGTGTTTGTGACACACCACGACATAGAAACCATTCATACTAAGAATAACCTTACATCAATCTGCCTGAAGTCATCTTCTGAACGTAGAAGACGGTCAAAATGTCGAGCCCAATAAACCTCCTTCTCTTTGAATCTTTGCTAGCGTTCAGACCGTCATACTTAAGAGGTCAACTTTTGGAGTTAAAAATGTCTTAGAGTAAACGGACAGATGAGACGGCCCTAATATCTGTCGCTTAAGTAAAAAATGTATCCAATTCTCCAGCATCTGTTTCAACTGATTTTCGCGGTAGTGTCTTCACAAAAAGCTTTCCATTTAAAGCGTTGAGTTCAGATATTCAAAAACAAGTAACTAAAGAATTCGAATAAATGACTGCGTATATTGCTGATTGCCCGTTGGCAGTTCATGAATACTACGTGGTTATTCCGTTGAAGCTGGCGAATTTGTGCTGAAGTTATCTCATCAACTTCCAGACTGAGCCTGTAATGTTTCTTTTCGAATTATGTACTCCAAGTTAACGCATTGCTTTTTGGGAGACAAGAAAGCTGAAATTTCACAACTGGCGTATCTACCAGAAAGGACACAGGGACCGTTGGTGGACCCCTCGCAGCTATGTCATGCAGTGGCAAAATATCGGCGAAACACGTGTCTTGGCCTTTAGCTAGTACCTATACTGCCAGTGTGGTAGACCATGCAACATGTGTTTACGTTCTTTCTAGCCAATCGTGTATACCAAAAAGTTGAGTAATTCCACCCTTGTAAGTCTACGCATCTCTCCCTTATCTCTGCTAGCCTAGGGATGAAGACCCCTAAGTTGCAGTTTCTTTGATTCTGCATAATACATCGTATTTTTTCAGCTGGCCTGAGTGCCTAGGTACAGAGGTCTCTGGGATACATTTTTTGTCTCAGTTTGATGTTTTAAGAGATGTCATCCAAGTTATTGTCTTTGCAATGCAAATTTGTCTTTGCTGCGACAGATTATTGAAAATGTTGCCATTTAAACCAAATTGCACAGAAATATGAAATTCTAGTACATACTTGAGGGTTTTTCCCTTTTATACTATGCATGCGCAAAATTATTAATAAAGTACTTGTCGTTTACGTGAAATAAACCAAATGAGGGTTGCCATTTGTACCGTATTTATGGTATCTTTACTCTGCCTTCAGCGGCGTTGCACGCTATTGTCCTAGGCCAAAATACTAATTACTTTGGCTAATAATGTACACTAGTCGAATTTTGTTGAGTTCGCATGAGTACTTAACTATTATCATACGTGCGTGTGACACACTTTAGACGGGGGTCCACACCATGTCCGCCACTGCATCCAGTTTCATCGCCAGTACGTGTCAATCGGAGAGGCCTCTGATGCATTACATGTGAAAGAATGAGAAACATCGGTACTGTTATAGACTAACTCATAGAACTTTAGCACATTTCTTGTTATAATCGGTCTAACGCGCTAGAACCTGTCATGACGCTGTATCGGTCGTAGTCTAAAAGGTCACTATCTGGCGCTATACCTGGATCCCTCTCAGAAATGAAAGGCAGGCTGCACTGAATCCCTCCTAATATGACCCATATGACACTCTCATGCATGAACTACGAGGCCGCTTCACTGAAACCTGCACGGATATACGGATTATTTGATTTTGTCTGCCACTGCACTTGTTCCCACTGCACGGTAGGTGAGCAAAGAGTTGGTTGAGATAGATGCTAAGCCGATCTGCCTCACTATCACCAAGTCGCGCGCAAGCCACTACTGCAGCCACTTAATTGTGCAGGGGTGATCCTCGTCGACTCCAATCCAAAAACTACTGTATCAACACTTCTGGATGGGCTTTTGCGGCCTACGGGGAAAAAAACCTAATTTGGTCACATTTGTGGTCGTCGTTATACAATTTATTGAGTACAACTTGCATTTATTGAAATGTGCATACAATAAATAAGCATTTATTTTTTAGATAATAGAAAGGGATCAACTTCACGTGGCGTCTACTGCCATAGGCAACATCCAGATTACGCACATCATCCCCTCTGAGAAGCCTCCCCAATCGAAAATTATTCATAAAATTATGCATGCTATCAACTTACCATTATTGCAGCATCGTCATAACCATGCTGACGTAGATAACAGTTTACTTCACGTGCACTCAGGATTCTGTCATGATTTGTATCCATCTGGTAGAATAAGTCAACCAGTCGGCGCCGCCTGCCCGTTTCTTCTCTCAACAGTCGCCGATACATGTTTGCTTAGCCAGCAAAGGTGCTGTAAGACGAAGTAATAAGTCATGCCATGTTTATATTAAAATCCTATTTGATTTTTATCGCTATTACGATTTTTTGACGGTTTTTGATGAAGTTCCTTTAGCAATGCATTTTTGTTAGGGAATCGCATATCTGTATTAATATACCACTTGAAAAGACAATCCGTACCATTTTAAGAACGGTTTAACTTGCAAGACTGTGAAAGTTATGGCGACAGTACAGTCCGCAGTAACCGCCAACTCAAATAAATTTGTCTTCCATTCTCGATCAACACACAGTTTACGTTGGACCATTCCGTAAACAGGGTAGGCACTATTTTCGCACCTGGCTGGATGATAATTATAATCTGGACTAATTGCTCTGACAAGAAGAGGCGGCCGACATGGGCGGTAATAAGTTTTTTTCTAGCTTATTTGACTTATTAACATGGTTACAATTATCTACCTACATCTCACTGGAATAGTCAGACGCAATGATTTCAGCCTCTGACTGACCAAATAGGTTTGTCAAAATGTTATTCTTTCGCCGGACCTATGGAAAACTGGAAAAAGTGAGATTTGAAATAAATTCCCACGAGCAAATGGAGATCTAGTAGTTGCTTGTCCAATACACCATATAATCCAATCTTAAGGAATCTTTGTCATATGCTGTCTTTATTCAGTAAAACGCAACCATGAGTTCATTCCCAAAGCAAAACACTTTTTCAGAGGAACCATTTGCACCAGAGCTAGAAACTAAGCACACAAACTGCAAGCGAATGATTTGCATGCAAGTTTAAACTGCACATTTAAGCGTGCAAACTTTACATATTTGCGGTTTAACAGGAGCAACCTCCTTATCAGACAGGCCCTTGTGTTTTCTGTCCTTCTGCATCAGTTGTGGTTACTGAGTACAGGTGCGAAGTACTCGTCAATTTTTGTCATGAATTTTAGTTTTCACGCACTGCAAGAACAATGAATGCCTGTTCTCCACGGTTGTCCACACTGAAATGCAAAGTCCTGCATATCAGACTGTTCAGTTAGCGAACTTAAATTAAGTGCTCTGGCTATCTTGCATCTCACGTTTGATGGTTTGAAAGAACTATAGATATTTGAGAATTCGTTCATTTGGCGTCTGGGGTATTAGAGACGCGGGAAATGTCAAACAATTCGGGGACCTTGGTCAGTCAAATGTCCCTTTTTCCATGCAAACAAGATCCCTAATCTCCCCATTCTCCTGTTGCCGCATAATGTGTATGTTTGCAGTGACCTAGAGCACTGTGTGCCTACGTAACCAGCTCATATCCAAGGGGCGGAAAACCATGAAAATACAAATTGCTACATGCAATAGGTAAAATATTGATACAAAGTTTAGTGAATACCTCGCAGAGACTGCACGTTACGACCGTGTCCCTCCTACTGTTAAGTAGGAAGTCCAGCTAACAGGCCTCCATGCGACGTCTCCTAAACTGCGCACAGTCCAGGCGAACGTGAGTGTGTATGTGCACGGAAAGCCCCAGAAAAGTGCATGATCGAAGAAGTAACCTCGTGCACAAAGTACGGACCCGGTGTTGCGAGAGATCACGGCAAGAGCACGTGGTTAAGGCGGTAAGGCATTAGTGCCCGAATGCATCAAGTGCGCTCAAGTAAGTGCCCCGAGACCAAGCACAGGGAGTGTATTGTTAACTAGAAAAAAATAATTTTCTAGATCGCAAAATAACCTTACTGGTAAGTACTCGAGGATCCCCGGTTAGTTGGCCGACTCTTCCGCACAAAAGGACCGCTCGTAACTGCTGCATACCGATGGCGACCTCTGTTGAGTCTATGAAAACATGAGCTTCTGAATATGCATTCTGGACGGCTTTTTCCACGTGTCTTATAGCTATCCAGGATAGGTTTCCAGGGGTATAAATGACAAAATTCACTTGTAAGATGAACAGAAATACTTCAACTTATGGAAATATGTTGTGCTGCGCCTGCATACTCAAAACTTTACGAGGGGCACAATGGGCGATTTTTGCCATGGAACTCCAGCCTCTTGAACGGACTCTTTTTTCTCGGACGCAAAAGAATTCCTATTTTTTGTCATTTAATATTCCCCTTTTCTTCTCAAAGTAGCTTGTCAGTGGCCCTTACAGCAAAATTTTATCCAAACCTCTGATCTCACCTATCGGTAGGGGCACTCCATGCATAGATGTGCTTTAAAGAGCCAGAGATGCTTACTCAACATATTGCCTTAAAGTTGGCATTAACTTGCATTATGGCCTCTTTTCCGAAGATATCTTTCCTCACTATAAAAAACGAAAGTTTTGCAGAGTTATTAAAATAATTTATAATTTTAAAGATAATGACAACAAAAGATATGTTCTGCTGCTCCCTGGAACCCTGTAAAGTATGCAGTTGAAGGATCCAAGAAGTATTACGAAATTGCAGGATATGTAATGCCAAACACCTGAAATGGTCTGCATTTTATAACTACCATAAATGCCTATTCAGTGTTTCTGAATGGCGGTTTTCGAGGAAATTCATTTTTGTGAGGCGCTCAAACAATAATTTTACTCCAATGAATTCGTGTAAAACATTTGACCCTAAGAATGCATCAGCGAACTACGAAGAACGAGATACATAAGTAAGAAATTCCTGAGTGAGATTTATTCATATGCACGGGAAAATGTTTGAGACATCCAGTATACGACGATCTGGAACCTAATTCGGGGTCACATGCGTGTAGCATGGGTTTGGAGACTTAAAAATCGTCACCGAATAAATTGTGAAATATTTAAAGTGCCGATAGGCGACGCGGCATTCAGACCCTACTGCCGCTCAGAACATATATTCTGAAGCCCAACGAAATCTGCTTCTTAGGGCAATCACGAAAGAAAAACGGCCTTTGAAGTCCGACATTCAAAAATTCTGCACAGAGACCTAGTCAGCTGCCTACTGAATTCATTGGGCGGGCGAATCAACCGCTGAAAGTGGTCTCTTATTCGCCTATGCTTTGACCAACGCATCTTCAGAGACAGCAAAAGACATGAATAGCAGATGCGCAAGGAACGCAGCATTTGTGCGATGAAGCTGCGAAAACGCCACACGCCTGGTTAAACCAACAGGTCTTGCATCCACCGCATCTCTTTGATATTAACACGATAATAACTCGCTGGCCCGCATCCGGGTAGTTACTTCTCACGATTTCATCACCATTCTGATCATTGGTGAAATTCGCTGAACGCTCAGGATATCAACAATTTGAATTTGCTTAGCAGCATTCGCTCCCTGATTCAGTGAGATCTCCGTTCGAACGAATATGATTTAAAACACACCTTGGGTGTGGAGGTAGGGAGGCCGCAATCGGAACTTCTTCATTGCGAAAGCGTGAGGGGCAAAGAAAGTAGCTTATTGTCATAACCACTCAGTACTTTGGAGGTGGGCTTGACAGATGAGCTACGCTTGTAGTCCCCGGTAGTGGAAATCAAGACAGACATGGCGACTGTTGGTGCAGATTCTAGACTGCCGAACCTCGAGGAAGTCCTTTGAGTGAGAATTTCGGTAAAGCTTTTTCAATGCGAAGTCCCCCATTTGGTAAAGCGGCCACTCTCATTTCCAACTTGGTTTTGGAGCTTTAGTGTTCCTTCGACGTTATTTAGATGGTGAACTAATTGAATTCGATTTTGAACATTTTAAGTACGTTGGCCACCAGCCTTTCATACGCCGGTCAATTTTGATGCGGTAAAGTGCCTGCCACTGCGGTTCGCTCTCCCGAAAATCCCCCTTCATATCAGGCTTCCACAACTTGTGTCCCCGAAAACTCCAGTCCAGATGATGCCTGGCATGATGATAGTCTTTACGTCAGTCCTCATTCCGGTCGCATCTTCTTCATTTGAGCAGATGCAGTGGCAATTTAAAGGAATTTGGTATAGTCCATTAATGACGCAGACCAATGCATCCTGCATGGTACTTATAATACCCGACGGGCTTTAGAGACTAGCGAATTTATTTCGCGCTGAATATGTGCAGAGTGAGCTGGTGGACATTTGCTACAGGTCGAGGCAATTCGATCGCTTGTGATCGATGGAGCGGTAGGTAGTTGCATGACAGTAGTCACCTCCGCACGAATGGTTCAGTGCGCTGGCTCCTCTAGATGAACGGTGTTGTTTAGGGTCAATCACGTGCAGGTGTGCCCCTAAGACGGGCCAAGAAATAAATGGCCTGAACCAGCACGGAGGCCAGATTGACCTCCGACAGGCGTTATTTGAAATGCGCACCCATAAAATGTCAGCCTTGGGATGAGGTGGCACGTCCCCGTGCAGGCGCACGCCGCGTTATTTTGGATCCGAGTCGCCCCTACCTCCTTTTTTTCTTGTTGTATAAAATCCTGGCCAGTGCGCGTTGTGGACCAGGAAGTGTAGCGGCACGCCTAGGTGCGGGTTTTCTCGTCGTGCCAGCCACCTGTGTCCTCTTCCGCTTCCGGTCTTCTTGATTCTGTCTTGACACCGAGCTCAGGTGAGGGAGGGAGAGAAAGTGCAGTAAATGCAGCGCAAGTCTACCACCACTTTAAAATAACCCGCGCGCACATTGCCGTCACTGCTCTCAGGCTGCTGCGGAGCACACGATGGACATCGTCAGACACGACGGTCGAGCTGTCATGTATGCGTGAATTTCGAGAGGCAGGAGTCTTACGCCAGCTCAGTCACTGTCCTAATTTGCTATTCAGTCTCCGTAAGTTCGCTTTGCTGTCGGGGCATGGTGGTCGTTGGGAGAAAGATGGGGTCAATGTGGCTCACTGCTCCCTCGCTATAATTAAACTTTGTGACAAGTCACCACTGGTCTACCGGGGTAACGGTGTTCCTCGCCGGGCCTGGCAGGTTGGGAGGCTCGCGCTGAATACGACACGCGTTCCATCTCTGGACGCGGTATTTTATCGTTGGTTGTATGGCAGCTCAGACTGCGGTTTACTCATGTCTGTCCTTTCGACTTCATTTGCAGATCATGCGGTTGGCCGAATACCCAACGTTAGCAGTCTTGTGTCTTTGACTGTTCCCGTAACTCCCACCCTCCCTACTCTTATGAAAGGTTCTGGTCTTCCACCAGACTTAGTGAGTTCCGTTTTATTACGTGAACTCATTGCATAACGTTTGTTCGAATACCTAAGTAGTTTCTGTCAATGGTTGCTTGCGTCCAACTTCTGAATGGTAACGGAATAGGCAGGCCTATCAAGTATTCCTCAACACATAATCCCCTCGGATAATGTCGGCAACACTGTATATGGTATGCAGATTAGAATCACATGTTATGAAATCAGCCTGAATCTTAGCCCAACTTTATCATTATCAACCAGATGCTTCCGAAAGATTGTCAGTTTAGGGTTCCTTTAGAGACTGTGTTTTGGCTTCATTGTCTGTGGTTTGTCGTCTTCAATCTCATTGTTGCTGACCGTTTTGTGAGATATGTTGGTCCTCAGGTTACCACAGGGTGTTTTAAATGTCTCCACAGGGATACCATCGAAGGGCTAAGGCTGTCGTGTTTTACATGTCATCTCTGGCATGCTCAAAACCCGCATCCTCCTCTCTTGTGCTCTGCAGAAGAGGCCAATCTACGAATGATCGTTGTGAACTTTCTGTCGCTGTAAATTCATTCCCGTAAATAGGTACATTTCTTCAAGCTAAATAGGCCATTTCAGGGTGTTTGATCGCGACAGCCAGGTCAGTGCCGCGTCAATCACCGACAGGGCGAGGGAGGCTCAGTTATAAACAACATTACTCAGCCATCACGTATGCGGTTGCTGAGCGGCTGCAGGCGAAGGAGACCGAACTTTCCAAATAATGATCCCGGACATATATCGTAAACTCCTTCCGGTCAGCAGGGCCCCAGAAATTCTCAAATTTCGGTTGTGATAAGATGTGCTTCTACCGGTCTGATTATGGTTTGGCAACATGAACTTGCATTCAAGAACTTGCCGCTACTGAAGAAATTGGTCGATAGAATTCTGTCTGTTCTAGTAAGCTGACTATCAATCACAATTTGAACATCAAACTTCTGACGCAAAGTATATGCACGTGTACTCAAGTGCTGCAAACTTGGCAAAAGTCTCCTTAGGATAGTATCCGACAATTTTAACAAGTTTATGCTGCAGCCTGCACACACGGCTTAATTAAATAGATAATATTTTAACTTCGACAAATAATCTTCTTGCCCATGGCCTGTTTATCGGGGCGTCTACTGTTCTACTTCAAAGCGTCCGAGATTTTTGTGTGTTACGACGTCTTTTTCCAGCCCTGTGGTTTGCCTTCGTCCGTTATACGCAGAAGCCCGCTGGCGACCGAGGGACCCTAGTCTTTGTTTCATTAGCGTACAGCTGAGAGGTCGGTTTCAAGTTCATACACCTAAAATACCTTGATGAGGTAAAGGTCTGAACTCGGTAGCGGCCACTGGTGGACGCAAAACACCTTAGACGTTCTACATTTCCCTCCTTCTTGAAAAATTCCTTATTTCTGAACGGCGTATTATTGCTTTTCACACGTCCTACATGTTTTCACTTCACCTAAAGTCCATCATTATTAGGTAGGAATTCTAATCGATGCATATGGGCTCGTATCCGAATGATAACATATGTTACACAAATTTAGGCACATTTCATGAGTTATGCCACTGACAGAGTTGGACTGACCCAATCAGCATTCAGGTCACAAAACCGTCCACCAATTGGTTCAAACTAAGTTACTGTTCTCTCACGGACCAAGATCACGCTCAGTCCGATGTCCTTTTGTTGTACAAGTCTTGGCAAGATATTCTTCTGATGAGAATAATGTGTCCGTTAATTTAAAAAGATACACACAGAAAGGGTTTGTCTAAGACAATTCTTAGTGCGCAATAACAAGGACAATGTCACACAAAGACAGGATCGGAGAATAAGGTTATGAATTGCTCATAGGTCAACCCAGCGTCCAGTGATAGACCATTAAGTTGAAAGAGTGTACGCAGGAGTTCTTCGTTTGCTGGGTCTGCAAGTGCCAACAGAATGCCTTGGACTTCAGTCGTGTCGATGCGCCCGTCTGCATTAGTGTCCAGTTGGTTAAACACTCTCCGAAGTCTGTCGCCGCTGAAAACGAAGAAAAAAGATTTTGCCTGAGTCACCTTCTTCTACCAAGCCTATATTACGAGCCGAACCGACGCATTGGACATGTATATGTATAGATGTCAGCATATTATTCAGCCAGATGACCGAGTTATGCCGATAGAAGCGACCTCAAGCGACTTTGAAGGAGTCCTCTTTATCAGTGCAAAAGGATGATATGAATGGCCTTGGCTCGATCTCCTTAAAAGAAAAACAAAGCGTTGCCTGCGGTTTTATCTGAAATGTCGAGTGAATTGTGACGTTCTATTATGATAGTATGCCATAAAGCAGGTTGGGAAGACCCCAAATGTTGATGACTTAGCGATATAATGAGATGTCTATGGGACTGAGTTCGATCACAATAAAAAATGGAAATGATTAGACGTTTGAACCCAGTGACAAAATAAGACCTAGGTATCCCAGTAAAATGGGAAGTGTGTTAGGATTTTTCCTACCAGTAGGGCAGATTACAGCGGCAAGTGACGAAACCTGTAGAAGGCATTGAGAAGACTCGCATTTCTGCCGTATGTTTTTTTTATTACTTCAGGTCGCGCAGATTAAAATATGCGAACTAGGAGTGTGTAAAGGGGTGAAACACAGGTAATCTATGGTTATTGGTTGAAGAAGGCTAGATTGAGTGAGACGGTATGCGGCAGGCAAGCGTAACCCCAACCCCAACTCTAATCCTTTTTCTAACCGCAATATTAGGTTAACTATAACTTTGAGCCTAACCCCGAGCATGACTGTAAATGTAATCATTTAAGCCTAGCCAGAAGAGTAACTCTAATATAACACTCCCACCTAAATCGAATAAGCGGGCCTGTTATCGCAACAAAGCCGGAGGCTTACGTACTCGACCGTCGTCCAGAGAAACAGTATCTTCTTAGGGTTTCTGAACTACCTTTTCCGCAAGTGAACAATCAGTAACAGCGCTGTGGGGCTCTGCTCCCAAGACTTATTCTGATGCTGTTTACGTAGTTAGTGCGTATATCTTAAAGTACTCTTGTCTGACTAAAGGAAGCTGTCTTAACGTTTACAGCTATTGGAAGACCCCAAACACCACGCCCTCCTCCCTGGAAAATGCGTCTGAATGTCTTCCTTGGCAAAAGAGTATCCACGCCTCCCTTTACTTGGCCGATTAGTATGACTAGCTCATAATGGACGGATATAATACAGGTTAGCTAACGTAAGCGATCCGGGTCGGTAAGCTGAGAAAAATGAAGTGCTCACCGGATCAAGAGAATTGTACTGCTTACGTTTCGGATAGCTTGGTCGGCTCTCCATTGGCAAAGCGTTTAGTGCAAAAATCAACCAGGATTTTGGATAAACGGCCGAAGTAGTTGGACTTGGGCTGATCGATTTTTTTTCTTCTTTCGCAGCCTTGGTCCTCTGACCGTCGTTTGTGAAGGTTGGTGGCTTCCTGTGTTGTGTGTTGTCACCTCAATTGGGGTCGGTTGCGTTTGTCGCTCATTTTGGGTGAATTGGTCGACGGACCATGTTTACTCGGTATTCCTAAGCTCCGTATGATCGTGTTGTCCTAGTTATAGCGTACGCAGTGACGTAGGTCTTTATAGGCCGCAGGAAGGCTTATATGTCTGTTGGTGAAGTTGGCGTCTGAGTACCAAACCTCAAGTGAGGCGTTCCGCCCTTGAAGTGCCCCGGCCTAAGACAGTTGCTCCTTGAAAGTCAAAACTGAGGCCAGTTTCTCCAGTGTGAGTCGCAAGCTGTGGGTTTGGGCCTAGTCTCCGAGTTTCCAGTTTTTACTCATGTAGGCGGGTCTAAAATACCCGTCCGGTTTCCCCAACGTAGTTGCAGTCTCCATCGTAACAACGTATTTGATGAACAACTGCTGAAGTTTCGGTGGGTGGCACAGTTTTGACTTTCAAGGAGCAACTGTCTTAGGCCGGGGCACTTCAAGGGCGGAACGCCTCACTTGAGGCTTGGTACTTAGACGCCAACTTCACCAACAGACATATAAGCCTTCCTGCGGCCTATAAAGGCCTACGTCACTACGTACGCCATAACTAGGACAACACGATCATACGGAGCTTAGGAATACCGAGCAAACATGGTCCGTCGACTAATTCACCCAAAACGGGCGACACAAACATAACCGACCCCGACTGAGGTGACGACACACAACACAGGAGGCCACCAACCTTCACAGACGACGGTCAGACGGCCAAGGCTGCGAAAGAAGAAAAAAATCGATCAGCCCAAGCCCAATTAATTCGGCCGTTTGTCTAAAATTCTGGTCAATTTTTGTACTAAATGCTTTGACAATGGAGAGCCAACCATGGTCTCTGAAACGTCAGCAGTACAATTCCCTTGATCCGGTGTTTATTTCATTGTCCACAGCATATAATACAGAGATTTGCGGCGTCTGCAACTGGCCGGGCGTAACGAGGAGCATCCTAGGTAACTTCGCGAGGTAGGAAAGCTGACTTACCCGTGCCTGTGCAGGTAGTCCTCAGCCAGAAACTGGATGTATTAGCAGACGACGGGAATGGGATCACCGAAATGCTTATTGACAAAGACGGAAGGGATTGGTATGTCTACTTCGGACATATTTATTATTCTAAACCGTCTATAACCAGACATCAGACCAGAAGGATGTGAAATCCGACGCCGGATCCTGTTAGCCATGGAACTTAACTATCTTACAGTGGAGCAACCGGTTTACGCTCCGTTGGATACGATCGCAAGTGTCTAAAGTCGCGTGTGGGTTGTGTCACCGATCTGGCCGGTTTGCAGGACGACGTGCAGACATTCCGCTTAGCCCTGGAGTGAAGCCTTCCGTTTCGCAACTACGCCCACGTGAGTTAACGCCATTCACTTTCATTCGTGTCCATCATCCTGCAGAGAGTAGCCCTACTTACAGATTGTATTTGTCGCCAGAAATCACCAGTAAATTGTTTCCCTAAGAAGGGAACATGCCGGTGGAGGCTGACGTGTGTAGTGATTATTCCGTTGACGGATATGGACTAACTGGGGTTTTATTCTCAAAAATTCTTCTTACCCCAAGCAGAATTGCTAAGTAAAAGTCCAGCTACTAGTCTGGTCAATCTTCGACTGCTTCGCGACACAAACTTCGGTTCTGGATTCCTCAGAGGCAGCGCAACGATTTGTTACGTGGTTGCGGATGGAAGCAGAAAAAATGGGGCTGAACTTTAGACTTTAAAAAGGCAATCTGAAATTAAATAACTCGTCTTTCGTAGGAATATTTACAGCGTGAATATCTTACCAAATCGAAACTATGAGTAGGTGTCGACTGCAAGGGATATATTTTCCCCAACACCCTGCGTTCCTTCATTGTTTCGTAAATTTTTCCAAACAAGCTAGAAACCGATAGTTTCCATTTGAACGTGCTCCACTGAGTCGCTGCGAGAAAGCACAGATAAAGACAGGACTCAGCTGTTTTTCGGAGTGCTGGATGTATCGTTGTATAACGCGATTGCTGATTGTTAGTGAAGCCATACTATCGACGACCTGCTATGAATTTTTCTGGAACGCGTGGGTTTATCAACCGTTTAAAACGACGAGTAATAGACCAACCCCTTCTCCTTTTTCAACGACGCGAGCCCCCTATCGACAGAAACTTCTAAAGCTGGGAAAAGCACCGACAATGCAGGCAGATTCGGAATTATCATTTCTGGCCTAGTCAGCGTCGTCAGCTAGCAATGCTCAGCTCAACTTCGGTAGGATGCCGATGTGGACCTTGACTCTTTGGACATTAGTCAGCAAATCAGAAGTTGAATTGCTGGACCTCTTGGCTCTTCGAGAATAGGAATAAATCTGAAATGTCCATTTTAAACTTTCACGCTTTGCTGGCCACTTTCCTCATTGTCGATTACTCGTCATAATGCAACCTGTGAAGGTTATATGCCTAGCTCCTGTCCAAATGGGAATTTTGTGCGAAAACCCAGTACTTTGTGCTGGGAGCTAGGTCGTGTGAGGAACGCTCAGACGGACTATTCAGCTTTGTCAGCCACTTACGTCCAATTCCCTCATCATATGGCTGACCAGTTCAGACAGTAGACTGGCGTATGGGAGAGGGAAGAGAGAACGAGATCGACGTCGAGGACTCCATCACCATGATACTTGGAGCGTATTTCTTACTATAAATAATCTGACTCAAGCAGGGACATATAAATTCTGCCAGTTGATGGGATAACCCGTTCCTCCCCCAGGACAGAGAGACAGGCTGCAATGGCGACTTTGCCCAAATGAAAGCTGAACTAAACACCACAATCTGGGAACAGCTTTCTCCGGTGACATAATCAAGGATTAAGAGTGCTTTAGTGAGTTATTGCTCGTTGTTCTCCGTGACTGCTGTCCTATTTCACGGAAGAAACTGAACAGCAGACTCCCGCGGATATCACGAGCTTTAAAAAAGAAATGAATACAAAGCGGAGGTTATGAAGGAAATTCCTCTGAGATAGGAGCTCTGTTGATAAATGCATACAAGGCACAGAGGAACCTAGTTAAGAAACTTATTCTCGGAACGCGGCGTACTATCGTGAAAGACCTACTGAATCGAGCCGCAGAAAATCCGAAGTTATTCTATGGTTATATAAGAGGGAGCACGCGAAACAGAGACCCAACCCCATTATTGAAAGCCAGCGACGATCTGGAACTCAGTGAAGGCGAAGAAAGGCAGAGCACTTTTCACAATGTCTAAGTCCATCTTTTCGAAGGAAACCGCATTTATTCCTCCCGACTGCAACATAGTGGACAGGCCAACGATTGAGTTGCTCTTTCGCCGAACCTACTGTTTGCAAAGAACTGTTGACGCTGAATAATTCTAAATCACCTGTGCCGGATGACATACCGCCCAAATTGTTGAAGGAGATCGCTGGATAACTATCTAAACCTCTGTCGATGCTCTTCCAAGCTTCGTTGGAAGCAGGCTATTTACCCGCCGATTGGAAATATGCAGGGATCACGCCAATTTATGAAGGCAGCAGTAAGGTCTTAGCAAGCAACTACAGACCAATCAGCCTTACTTCAATTTGCTGCAAAGTTATGGCCAAAAATAATTAAGCTAGAAATAATGCGCTTCCTAGGACAGTATAATTTGCTGTGCGATGTCCAGCACGGACTTCGTAGAGGCAGATCATGCATGACAAACCTCCTTTGTTGTGTAAAACGCTGGACCCGAGCAGTCGATGGCGGCAATGCAGTGCACGCAGTCTCCGTCGACTTTAAGAAAGCATTTGGCAGTGTACCACATCAGCGTCTCCTGTACAGATTAATCCGAACGGGCATTAGGGGTAATCTCCTGATGTGGATACAAAGCTTCCTTATCGGTCGCTCTCACACTGTCTACGTCGGTGAGAGGGAGTTGACGTAGGTGGCGGTTGAAGGCGGTGTTCTTCAAGGCTCCGTCCTTGACCCTACCCTATTCATTATATACGCTAACGACTGCGCCAGTGAACTGAAGTGTAGTATCGCCATGTTCGCTGTTGATGTTAACGTTTGGAGCCTCATCCGAGCTGAACTTGACGAAGGGCGTTTTCAGGCAAACCTGGACCGGCTCGAAAATTGGTCACAGGACCGGCTTTTGCCAGTTAATATAACTAAGTGCAATGTTTTACGAGTCGGTGAAACCCGATCCCTGAGCCGGAGGGTTTACCACCTAAATGAATAAACACTGCAGGAGGTAGACGCCCAGAAAGACTTGAGTGTGTGGGTCACGGCTTCACTTAAACCGTCGCTCCACTGCTCCAAGGTAGCCAAGTCCGCGATGTCAGTCCTTTATCTTGTCAAGAGAGCTTTCCCTATCTTCGATGAGGACTGCTTCGTTAAAGTCTTTCGGACTTTCGTACGGCCACAGTTAGAGTTCGCTATTCAGGCGTGGAAACCCTGGACCTCTAAAGTTCTCAGCATCCTTGAGAAAGTCCAAAGGCGGGCAACCAAACTCGTAAGTGGACAGGGTTCACTACCCTATGAAACACTATTGTCCAATCTCGGCCTTTTTCCACTGAGTTACAGACAGCTAAGAAGCGACCTTATACTAACATTCCGTATAATGCGCAGCCAGGACTGCTGTCTCTTACCTGCTGATTTCTTTGAATTAGCAACCACAACGAACCTCCACCTAAACTACGTGTGACTGGCGCCAGGCTGGACATGTGGAAGTTCTTCTTTTTAAGCAGAGGGGCCGAGGCTTTGAATGCTCCGCCTGCAGATGTCGTCATGCCCACATGCTTCGAGGCTTTTAAGCGCAAGTTATACCAGTATACCAATAAACGCCATATTGTCACCTGATTGATATCGTCTTAGCATTCCGTTTTGACGGTTTTATAATGTTATTATATTACTGCCCGTATTTCAGTAACGTTTGTTTTTATTACACAAATCCGTTGAATTAGTGTTGACGTTCAATGCGCCTCCCTCAGAAACTGAGGTCGCGCCAATGATTCACAGACCGACTACTGTACAGCACATTTAGTGATGTTAAGGTTTTTGAACACTTGGAACAACTCGGTTATCTGACCGGTTTCGAAAAGTTTTCCAATTTGAAAAAAAAACTTCTGTAGCTGTTTGGTGTTTCCATTTTCAAATTTTTGATATAATTCGCTTCCTCGGAACAAACAGGGTGTTCAATGGCTCAACACCTATGTTTCCATCAAATAAACTGAAATCGAAAACTGAAACAGCTGGAATCCCAGCCGGTCCTCTGTGCGCGAACCGGGCGTGTGTGGCACGCACAGACGAGCTGTCTAACTTTGCCATCCACTGCACCCGACCCTACCTCCGGTCTTCTTGTCTCCGTCTTGACAACGGGTTCCGCCGGATGAGGGAGGTGAAAGTGCGCTAGATGCAGCTCACGTCTGCCATCACTATAACCTAGTTCACGTTCAAACCACCGTCCTTCTTCTCGCCTCGCTGTGGGGCACACAGTGGACGCGGCAGGGCGCAACTGTCAAACCGTGTGGGGGTGTGTGTGTGTGTCTGGGTCGGCCTGGCGAATCAGTGCCTCGAGCACCAACATACACCACACGCACTTGCCCCAAGTACCCTCATTGTCCTCGCGCATTCAGCCACAGCACTGGCCTCTTCAGCCACAAATGCATTCCCTAGAGCCAGCGGTAAATCCCCGCCAGACATACCACACCATCGAATCTCCTCACGAGCATCTGCACCGTGCGCCAACATCAGCCCTCATCACACAACACAGACACAATTTACACCTTGCACGTAGGTGGCACTCCCACACCGTGGGATTCGAACTAGGTATCGAGGCACGACCAGCAGCGGCTCTGACCGCGTCAGCCGTCGCCCGTATTTTTTGTTAGGGTCTAAATCCTGGTCAGTGTGAATTGTGGACCGGGGTTGTTGTTCCAGGCCCACTTGCAGGCTCTCGCCGCGTCAATTTGGGTTCCAAACAGTCCCCCCCCTTTTAATTTCTTGGTGTACAAAATCCCGGTCAAGTGTTTTTTGTGGGCCAAGGAGTGCAGTGGTACGCCTAGGTTTTAAGCCTGGCCGCCCCAGCCTCCTGCGCCCTCTCCCACCTCCGATCTTCTTGACTATGCTTTGGTCCAGGTAGTTGGGAGAGTAGGAGGAAGAGGAGGAGGAGGAGGAGGAGGAGGAGGAGGAGGAGGAGAGAGTGCGGTGGGTGCGGCTAAAGTCTACTATCACTATGAAGGAGATCACGCGTAAGCTACCGTGCCTGCTTTTGTTCTACTGTGGAACACACGGTGGACATCGCCGGTCAAGACGGTCGAACTTTCGTGTGTTTGTTTAGTTCCGCAACCGAGGTAGACAGAAAACATTGCTGCATTTGACTGTTCAGTTTGATCGGAAGTCAGCAGAGGGGCATTTAACTTGAGCACGCCAACCCTTCTGTCAAGTACTATTCAAAGTAGACGTTTTATATCAGTACCACTTCTTCGCCAAAACTGAAAATGAGTGCGAAAGTCCTTTTCTCAGCGAAAACTAGAGCGTGGTATGAATTTAAGAAGCAGTATTCTGAGAAGATGCAGGAGTAGCGGACTTACTCGAGGCTGTCATCCGGTAGCCTGGCCAGAACTCTGTTGTACTCCTCCGCCGTGATTTGACCGTCGCGGTTTCGGTCAAATGTCTGCCAGAACCCCTATGCACGACAAATACAGAAGTGGGAGAGGTGTCAATATTATTGTATTTAAATACTTTATTAACAAAAGAAGGTAAGAGTATTGGTTTCATATAATAAAAAACTTGTCCTGCACTTTACCGTTCCATTGCTTTCTAGAGGCGGAATAGGATTCGAAATTCGAATCAGTCACTTCATATGAAGCATGACTTTACTCCGCGCCCATAATTAGTGCGAACTATAGTGCAATTTTATTCTGGACGAGGACGCCTTTCAGAAACAACGCTGGTATGGTCAGGCAACAGCACCTAGAATTCGGGACCGATCCAATGTTCACTGCAAAATAGAGGTTGACAAAATATTTGGTCAATTATCCAACTAGAACAATCAGCACACATCCTTTGCAAAGTTACCTTTATATTTTAGATGGCAAAAACGAGGAAATTTGTCAAATCTTTTAGTTCAGAGACGCCTGCGTAGCTGCAAATAACCCAATTTTCTACACACAAAAAGCCATAGGAAAAGTTTTGCGCTGGTTGACGTAACCGCTTACATAGATCATACAGAATGTGTAGACTTAAAGATAATTATTATTTGTTCACCAAAAAACGTCATAGATGGCACCCCTGAGAAGTTCATTCTGACATAACGCACAAAGTCATCCACATCCTGCAGCATGCCCCGTTCAGAAGATGGCGAAGGGATAGAGGATCTTTTGGGCTAACCGCTGACTATAAGGAGGAAATGTTAACCAGTTAACACTAACTCCGCCAGGTACATTCATTGGCAGTTAGTAAACTCTTTCTTAAAAGAGCATTTTGTAACGTCCCCAGCAGGACAGTGTCAGAAATTGGACTCCCGATTGTCATAGTGGAAACATGACCAAGCAAAACGGGAAGACTGCTACTTCGATTGCAAGGGCCAACGAGTTACCCTCGAAAGAGTGCTCTTTGTCCTCAGTCATTTATACGTTGGGAACTCGAGGACTTGCCCCCACAGTCATGCTTGTTTAGTAGTGGCATATATAACAGTTACTGTGTGCATCTTCCCTTACACAACTTGAAGGCACTCGGGGGTAAAGGCAGGATAACGAGATGTTCCAGAAAATATAACCGAGTTTCCCAAAGCTAACGAATTTTGTAATGGTATCACGTAGATAAAGATTAAATTGTCATTTATACTTTCTGTCAAACATGAGAATTTAATATAAAATGTTCTTTTCAAAATCATTGACCCAAGGACAACTAACCATGATCGAAGCCTCGTCGTATCCATTTTGACGCAGATAGCAGTTTACCTCTTGACAGCTTAAAATCCTGTCGTGATTTGTGTCCATTCGATAGAACAGATCTACCAGTCGCTGGCGTCGTCCAGTAGTGTTTCGCCTGGACCGTTTGTACATGTTGTTCCAAGCTGACAAGGAGAGAGCATTCAGGCATTATTACTGGCAGAAAGGAAGAGTGACTAGTATGGCCTTTTCTAATTTGTCGTGGGTCAGTCATAAGTCAACTCCAGACAACGAGGGCCTGGGACTCCAATCCAGACTCGGTAGGACAGGGGAACAAGTACCCTCACACTTATATTTCTATAGATTGTCTGCCCAGATGATCTAGGTTAGCAGCTTCGTGCCACAAATAGTGGGGCCTGTGGTCTGTATTTACACTTTATCTAACCGTTTCCGCTGTGTTTGTTGTCGCCAGTCCTTTTTTTACCAACCACCCATTTAATCGCATGAAAGAGTCTGCGCAGGCAACCCCGATTGCTGACCGCATGTGCCCGCCTAAATCAAATAATTTGAAACCCTGAAAGCATGGAGTTCAGGGGGTATTCAACTCCGTACCCAACTCCTTATTAAATAAATAGGTGGGAAACTTTAGGAACTTTGTTAACCGTATTCGTCTAACTCAGCGCAAATGACCACTCATTGATGCATGTTTTTATAATATATACTTAAGTTTGTACAGGTATAGAAAATCAACGGCGAAAATTCACGCTACTTAAGTTATCACTTTTGCCGCATGTAGGTTTTGCAGGCGGCAGAAAACAAGCGCATTCAAAAGTCGTCATCCTGACGTGACTAAAATATTCTGAGGTTATGTTGCCCGATGATTATTATTATTATAACCCCCACTTGAGTAATCTTTAATAATTGAAAATTGATTTGAAAATTACGGTTAACATTTTACGAGAATGTTCAGTGTATTGTTCATTGTCGGAGAAGACATTTTGAATTCCATAAGAACCACTGGGTTGTTACATTTACAAAGCATTCTATAAACGCTTCTGTTCAGCAAGTGAATCCTTTGGGCAGCATCAGAACACGGAAATGTGGCGGACAAATGACGAAAGACGAGTGCACGAAAAACAGTCCGTGGCGACTTAATTCAAACGTTTAGAATGTTACGGGGTCAGGACTGCTGCCTCGCATCCGGCGACTTCTTTGAGCTGGCCACCACTACTAGCTTCAGAGGACACCCTCTGAAACTACATGTGACAGGAGCGAGACTGGACGCAAGGAGGTTCTTCTTCAGCCACAGAGTGGTAAAGGAATGGAACGCCCTGCCTTCGGACGTCGTCATGTCCTCATCCGTGGACTCATTTAAGAGAAAGCTGGACCAGTACAGGGATATGTACCTCCACAGCATCAGAAACTAACGAATTTCCCCCCTGTGCCACCCGCCCCATTCAACGTTTTATGTTACAAAGCATGCTACTCGCTATATTTTAGTAACATTACGTTTTACAATTTTCGCTATCTCCTGGCCGCCACATGTGCGCTTGCTTTGATATTACTTGGTCTATTCAGTACCGTACTGGATATTGTACAATTTTGACATAGAAGGCATTCACAGACAAATCCATACCAGTGACCAATGCTTGTTTTATGTAATTACTTACCTAATTTTTTTCACACTTGCCTTACAGATTGTTTTTATATGACGTTATTGTAACCAAAAGGGAATTCAAAGACGCTCGCCTACCTTTCCCTTAATGAATCTGATCTGATCTGATCATTCCCCGTCGTGGGACAAATATTTTTATGTGAAAAAGCTATTTGTACTTTCGGGAAAACTGCGACATATATTAGCAGGTCGTTTTGTTAATCATGAAATTGCGGGACATTTGCGGAAAAGAAAATAAAATAAGCATCTGCTCTTTGTAACCCCGAGACAATGTCAGGTGGGGGTTTTGAGGTAATACCACAAAAACGGGGTGAAGACGTGCATAACTCGGAAAACATTCTGGAGCGACAAATAGCGAAAGAAATGCATCAACCCTTTAAAGAACATCATTGGCCAACGAGGAGATACGCAACGAATTATGGCACCAAGGCTCCCGCAGTCATGGTCAGTATATCTGAAGCGTTGGAAAGTTACCCCGAACAGTTTCGCGGTAAACATACTGCAGTTCGCCAAAGGAATGAGATTTGAAGCTAACCGACGGGTTGTGCAGCCCTCTAATACAATATTTGCATGATCAACTACAATGCAACAACAATGCTACGATACAGTAGGCACTATGCTTATATAATACCGTTGTGAAACTGCTCCCGAACTACACCAGACTCCTTTCCCGCCTGTGAGCTAATTATTTGCATATGCACTCCTCTCGGCCGCGCTTTACCTTACAAACTACTAATTGTCAATGCGTTAGAAAAAGGTCTTCGCCGTCCCGGACTCAGTCACGGGGCGAGAGGAGCATCTCAGCCCATCACCGCATTCTGTGAGCATTCTGGTTCGTTCGACTCCTCCTTTTGTTTTAAATCCTGTCTCCCAAGACCCAGTCTAAGCGCCAGCTGAGAAATCGCCTATGTCCAGTTTCGTGGTTTACGTTACTCAGCGTCTGGATGGTCAAAAGTAGGTCATCTCTCTCCTGTTCATAACTGAGAAGAAGTAAACTTAGCACACGCAGTCGCTGAAGATGTTCAAGGAACTCTAGTTTGGGCAAAATTTTGTGAAGTGTCCCTGAACCCCTTCTAGAATTCGTCTGTCCCATGATCTCCGAGCTTCCACAGCGTACTCCAGCAGTGTCAGACAAAAGTCGAAAAAAAATTTGCCAGGGAAATTTACGTCCCCATTAACGAACATACGGCGTATGGTCTTCACTGATTCCTGATTGCAGTTGGCTATGAAAAGTCTAACACTTGGCGGCAGACATTGTATATCAAATGCCATAATAACTCACAAAGGAAATATCCCCAGACTTCGCATGTGACAAAAGCAGCAAAGACTTACATAGTCATGACGGGTTTTTAGGGTGAAAACGCAACATGCAAACTGGAAAAGGGAAACTTTAAGCTGAAGAAACCAGCACTCTCGCCAGCTTACATGCTCCTTACTTCGGATCGGAAAGGTAAGTGCTTTGCCAGCATCTGACGCAAGAGAACTGCGCACCCGGTCCCCATGCTGCGTCGCATGAGAAGAAAGTACATGCTCTTGAACCGAAAAAAGTGCACGCATTCGCAAATTCGCCAATTGTTTCCTTCAGGCAGAAATTCGCGCTCTCTTCCAAAGACAACTAGAAATCACTGGCCGCCATCCCTTGTCCCTTCTTCCGCTTCCGCCTGACTTAACTTCTCAAGTATTCCGCAGTGCTCTTATTGGTTAACCACTACCTAGCCTGACGACACGAATCTGTTCAAGTGCTACGGGCTGGAGGCTAAAGACCTCAGAGTTCCTGCGCTAGGTTAGAGTAAAATTTCGACACTTCGATAAATTTTTCACCGTTCCCGTCGCGCTTGCGCAAATTGTGTCACTTTATCTACACGTATGTGGCAGTGTTTCTGTGTCCTGTTAACGCGGACTCGTGAGGGGCATAAACCGACGACTTATTAACCTCAGACGTTCAGGCAGGAACACAGACTATGGGAAATATGAAATTTTCACGACAAGAAGACGGTTGCTGTTTTACGGAACGAATCATTGACACCCTGAATTCACTCCGTATACATCACTGTTTCCAGAGAGCTTCGAATTCTATGACGTTTTCGGTTTAGAACATCTGCTACGTTTTGTCCCTTCTGAGCCAGTCTGCGAGTGGTGTCGCCTTAAACTGCCTTCAAGGGGAAGTCTTGTGGATATGAATATCTGCGTTACTTGCTTTGTAAAAAGAAAACGGTCTCTGTGAGGGTAACCTAGGCAGGACAAAATATCTGGCAGGTCAATCTTCCACTCACGTTTATTCACTCTTTTTAGTGAAATATGAGGTAAATAGCAGAAAGGACAGAAAATCTGAGGAACAGGGAGAGGAAGAGAGACGGTAAGATGTGGTTATGTAGCCCCACCTGATGGACATAATACTGTTTGAGTTGGGGTTAGTGGTTATGGCAAGGTGTCGGGTAAGGGTTAAGGGTCAGGATTAGAGGTAGGAGTTAGGGGTTAGGGCTTGGGGGTTAGGGTTATGGCGACTATTTCTCAACCACTCAAAGTACAACCGCGCATTACCAACCACATCTGGCCCATTACCGTATTTGCAGTTCGCCTATAGGGCAATGGAAATATCACATTAATGGGATGTATGACTTCTGTGTTGTGTCTAGTCTCCACCGTGCAGAAGAATTAAGAATAATATGCACTGACTTTGGGGTGAATTAAAACTTTTTCTTCAGCATCTTATAACCCTTCCCGCCCTAGCTACAAGAAACCTGGGCTAGATCGTAGTTGGTAGCCAGGAAGGGGGAAGCGGACGGCGAACTTAGCCCTAATCCTAACCTTAACCTTAAACATTAACCGTTAACCCTAACGGCAACCTTAACCCTAAACCTAACCGAAATCGTAAACGTAACCGTAGCCCTTAGCCACAGACTTGACTATAAAACCTAACCTTAATACTGAAACCTAATCGCTAACTCAAATCCAAACCCTAACCAGAAAACCTAAGCCTAAAGGGCATAACCCTAACCCAAAAATCGGAAACCATTAACCGGTACCCTAACCCCAACCTCGAACGTAAAACGGAAGCCGAATGTGTCAGACACGATTATGTAGCCCCATAAAAAGCCCCAGAAAACAAACCCCCAGCCACCTCTAATGCGGGCCTGGCTATCAACTGCGATCTAGCCGAAACCCGATTCCTCGCCTGTGCGTTCCCCGGTCCCACCGGCAAAAACCGTCTATCACCACCGGCCTCGCACTACAGGTGGCTGAGATTTGTTTACTTCGGGTGGGGCTACATAATCACCTCTGACCAGAGAGACTAAACACAAACGAATTTCTCAGAAATTTCCCCTTCATTCTCGGTTGTTGGTTGGTTGCTTAAGATCATCATAATCTTACCTTCGAAGACCCAAACCGATGGCATAGCTAACCCTACCCCAACCACTAAAACTTACTCAAACTCTAACCCCCAAAAGTGACCAAAAATTCCGAAACCTTATTAGGCATAGGAGTGCGACGACCACTG